GGGACAATTAGATATTTTATTTTTATTTTTAAAACTCGCACTGAATGTGAGATGGCTGTTTCACAAAGAATGTTGGTTTTAGACAGGTATCCAGAACTCGGTAGGCTCCCTACGATTTTAATTTTAAAGACATGCCGATTTTCAAACGTATAAAAATCTTACAGTAAGTTTTTATTGTAGCAGTATCGTAGCTTTCTTCGTAAACTGTGTTCGCTTTAGAATTTATGGTACGGATTTTATTTCTTTCAGGGCTTTCCCTATTTCTTGTTTACAGTAATACCATTCATTTTATCCCCTTTTTAAATGATTACGGTCACCACATTGACAGCTGTAAAAACAACTAAGTCTAATGTCATATCTGAACCTGAACAAAAGAATCAAATAAACCTACTAAAACATTAACGGTAAGTTTTGCTTTATAAATCCACAATATTGTATTGATAATTATCCTCTTATACATACGAACCGACTTTAAATTAACTCTATTGTTTTAAAAAAGAATCTGAAATTTGCAAATGCTTTCAATGCGGCACGATAACTGTTGATGGTGTATCCTGGTATCGTAACCAACTGGTTGGTCGTTTACTTATCGAAATATCTAACTCAATTATTGTATCTGGCATTACACGAAATTCTGAAAACTTATAAACATCAGTGATGAAGACAGTTTGCGAACTCCTAAAGCACCTTTAGAAATTATTCATTATCATTGAAACATTTCTCAACAACAATTTAACACTTCCTGTAATAGACTTTTTTGTAGTATTCAGGATATAACTTTGAATGTCATTGACATACTATATTATTTAAAAATTTAGAATACTTTTAAATCTATATTATACAACCGAGGTATAACAACAAATACTGGAGTATAAATTATAAAAAACACTCATGTTTGCTTCTCCCAATATATAAATATCAAAAAGTTGTTTTTTCTAAAAAATCACTACAAGAAATATCAAGTCGAAAACTATCGAAGAAAAATTGAAACAGTGTCCAAATATACTATGAGGAATCGTTTATTTTTTCTTTTTAAATTACCGTCCATTTGCACAAATTACAACTCGTCCACACATTTAAACAAGCGAATTCAAATTTACCTTTTATCCACAACTTTTCCTCATATTAAAACCGTATAGAACTATTCAAACTGTTATAACCTAAAAATTGTTAATCTATCAATTCTGGTGGTTGTAGAGGGTATTATTTTTTTCTTGGTTTACTATACTACAAAGAATAAACAATGTACTTTTCATTTCCATTATTGCGACCTATATGTACATGTCGCTAACGAAATTTCCTATTTAATTTAATCATGTAAGAACATGATAAGTCGTTATTTTTTTTTTAGTTCAGTTCTAGATGTCGTAACAATCTCATCTAGTTCTTCATATTAATTCAACAATCTCTAACAGTCTAGTTTAAATTTATTTCTATTTCTAACTAATTAAGATATTAGGCTCTATATTTCTTGAAAATATTTATGATATGCAAAAATGTGAATAGTAACTAAAAAGAGCAGAATAAAATCAAATAATTGTATCTTTTTTCATGTAGTACATCACTAGTTTTGTTCTTTTTGCGATTTTTCCAAATATTTTACTTGTTATGAACTTTTAGCTCCTATATTATATGTATTCCCCATACAAATATGCATCTATAGAAATCTTTCTATATACTTGCATATTAAATTTCCACGTGTTCAGAAACAATAAGAATATCTAGATGGTTGAAGTGGAAAATTAACACGATGACATGGAACTGAAACTTATTCGATTATTATTCGTATTTCATGTATACTGAATATTATGGGGACAACTGCGGTATCACGAGCAATACTTAAAGCTATTTTCTTTAGACTAAAGGATTATTCAAAAATTCAGGGAGTTAATATCCTTTTTTTTCCTCTTTTTCCCATTTCCTAACTATATATATATATATATATATATATATATATATATATATATATATATATATATATATATATATATATATATGGAATTCAGAAGAGACTGTATCAAGTTAAATTTTTATTTCCTGATCATACATCATTGCCGCACAAGTAACAGTCTGAATAGCTATCTTTATAACCGAAAACTTAGATTTGTATACGGTTATCTGAACATGTGCTTTGTTTTGGATATATGAAGGCGGTCCGATAAGTACTTAGCCTAAATGCCCGATGGCGCCACTATCGCAAGAGAAATTTAGTATCGTGTAGTAAATTAGCGCAGACAGATAGCTAGAGTCAAAATTTCAAGAAAGATACCTAGTTTTGTTTTCACCACTTGTGTAAGTGGGCGTGTCTGCGGATTTTAGAAAAATGGAAAAAGAGCAAGTCGGTTAGCGAAATCAAAGAGCGCTAGATGCTGTGTATTGTGACTCTTCTTTTAGACGACTGTCAAAAATTGGTTTAATGAATTTAAACGTGGCCGCATGTCGTTTTTTGATGAGAGCCGCTCAGGTGCCTCGAAATGGGCTTGCATTGAGGATAATATGACAAAAATCACAACAAAGTTGTCGGCGCGATGGATGCCGCGTTTGCTCACTACAGAAAACAAGCGCAACTATAAGATTACTTCAGAGTTGTGTTTGACACTATTTAAGCGGAATCCGAATGAGTTTCTTCGACGTTTCGTGACATACATCTTCTGGTACCCACTGGTTTTCGGAACATATATCTACTGGTGCTCACCAGAGACCAAGTAACAATCGAAATAGTGGACGAAGACTGTCCTATTGGCTGGAAAGATGATGGCTACCGTTTTTTGTGATTCACAAGATGTGATCTACAAAGACTACTTGGAGAAGAGCAAAATAGTCACAGGGTTGTACAATGCCAAATTATCGGACGAATTCGACATAAAATTGCAGAAAACGGCCCCATTTGGCTCTTCTACGATGACAATGATCCGGCTCACAGCTACGAAGTTGTCACGGTCAAATTGATCGAATAAGACTACGAACTGCTCCAGATTTGGTCCCATGCGACTTTTTGTTTTTCAACGTAAAAAAGGCAGAAATTTGTGTCGAGGTAGGAGGTCGTCGTCTCCACAAAGGCTGACTTTGCAGACCTCGAGAAAACGTATTTTTCAGTAAGGTTGAAGAAGTTGGAACACAACTTTGCTCCATTGTATTGAAATGCATCGAACTGATAGGAGAAAATATTGAGAAATAAATCGCCGCTTTTCCAAAATGTTTGTTTTTCTTTTGTAGGTTAATTATTTTTCGTACTTAGCCTACATAGTACTTATCGGACCACCGTCGTATTATGAATAGTATAATAAAACAATTATAATTAGATCTTATATTTTTTATACCAGTTTGAATAATTCTGTAGTGAAAACGTTATAAGCTGTCCATATCAATCACTAATCGAGAGAAATTCTCGTTACTTGACACGCGTTCGTTGCTGAACAATAAAGTCAGTCTTGTTGCGTTTGTTATTTAATTTGTTGCAATAAACCATGCACTTTTCGAGTCCTACTTTAATAATTTCTCCTAAAGATCACAACACACTGTAGAGGCCACACGACTTGCCTTTTCGCTATTCGAAGAACTCACTAAATTTTGTTTGCAAAAATATCAAGACAACTTGAAATTTTTAACAAGCCATGATATATTAAAATTCAGTTATCCTTGTAAATGTCAGAAAGGCACTAAATGATATATTTTAAAATTATAACTTCTTTCTTATGACAAGTTTGAATTTGATTAATATATTGTACTAAATACAAGACTATGGTAGGAATATGTATTGCCTTGATATTTTTGTTCTTGTCTTAGCTTCTCATTGACACTAGAAGGAACACTAGCTATGGTTAGACTTGCATTTTAGTGTGTAAGAACGGGTGACAGTTGATCTTTTATTTTCTATTTTGGGTTATACTTCGTAACGTTACCACCTGTACATTTAAAAATGGTTAATTAAATAACTAAACGTAACTTACAAATACGATCTCTGAAATTATCTAAAAAGGCCAAACTGAATGAGAAAGAAACAGATAACATTCAGTGAATTAATTTGTGTACAAAATGATGGAAAATAAGTGAAATGTAGCCAAACTAAATAGAAAGTTTTGATGTCTATTCTAATATGATCACCGGTTTTTGGAATAACCGGCTTGAACGTGTATTTACCCAATCCAAAAAATAAAACCTTTACAAACTAAAGTTATCTAATATATTTATACTTTGATACAAATAAATTAATTTAAAAAATGCTATAATCCGGGAACTAAACCTTAGAGAAAAGGCACTTCAGATCTAGTAAATGATATTGATTAAATAATTTGAATATTACAATATTTTTCAGTTTATCTTTCATAATTTAAATACCCAAGTCTACTTTTGTACATCTCAATATCAAAGAATATAAAATGTAATTTAAAAAGTAAATAAAAACTGGTATATATAGAAATATTAACTCCATCCTAACCATAAAATATATATTTTGCAGAACTGTTTAAGATAAAAGGATGTTCTAGGTTCACAGTCATTCCAACAATCATACACTATTTTTTTTTTTAACTTTTTAGGCATTCTTCACTCATAGATAACTAATACCTAGGGGTATTTTGTCAAAAACCTATTTTATTTATTTATTGGAATAAAATTGGAAAGGTTATCAGCAATTGTAGAATTGAAGAGAAAAATCGTCTGTACATAATATTTTACAGGAACTGATTGCACCGTACCTCTAAAAATCCATTGAATTTTGATTTCTACCCAAATAAGACTGATTACTATAAACAAATTATTTTAATCATGAAAGATACCCATCAAAATATGTATTTATATTGATAAACAACGTAGTAGAGAAAACGATTGTTTATCTGTTTGTAGTTTGTCATTGTAGAATTTGCTTAAAGCACCCGTTTACGCACTAAGGCCTGTCCTCGTCTTGGTGAGGCAGTATCTCGCGAACCGCACGACTGTGGTTCATTTTTTTAAATGGGGCACACACGCAAAAAGCCAAAGAACACAGCCCACATTAGTACCATCCAATGCACAGTGTATATGAAGTTCTCACCGTCTGTGATTTTTCTAGCAACGAACTTCAGCGTTTCGTCAAGTAATACTACTGGAATTGAGAACTTCATCACCGTCATCCATTCTTCAACAGTCAATGGGCATACTTGGAATACAACCTAGAACAAATTGTTGAGATTATAATGAGTTACGGTAAAGGAAAATGTAGCGCTTTTAACCGAAACGTTTAAAGAGCCCGTGTTCGAGTTGATATGTCATGGAATATTTATAATGTAAAACATGCATATAGACCAGGCGGTATTTAAAATGGCCATATCTGGGTGGAAAGTATATAAACGTACTTTTTTTAATAAATCGTTTCCATGTATCACTATAAATCATAATTTCACTATGCGTGAGTTCTCAAAAGTGAGCTTAAATGTGGTAAAAGTTAAATGTGGTTGAAAATTTTAAAAATTTTTATTAGGTATTAATGAAACAATACTAAAAAAGCACAAAAATAGTTTCAAAAAGGCTGTTTTTTTTATTTTATTTATTAACTTTTTAACCCTTTCAGTCACACTAAAAAAAATACTACAAATAAAAATTTGAAGTAGCCAGCCTTTTTTATAATTTTTTTTAAGATTAAAAAAAATATATGAATTTGGCTATAGCTGTTTTGGTTTTTGATTGATTGCATGTACTTTTACAAGGACAAAGTTACTTTAGGTAGTCACAGTAAAACTGCAAGAAGGAAGTTAAAAACTGAGATATATTGAATGATCACAAAAAGAAAAGGAAATACACAATTGATATTATTTTTCATGATATACGTAAAAGAAGTTGTTTCGAAGAATGTACGATCTGTAAATACTATGCAAAAAATCAAGCTTATGAACTTCTCTCGTGTTTTGGTTATACAACTAACAGCCTCAGGTTATGAAGACATTAATATATATATATATATATATATATAATATATATATATATATATATATATATATATATATATATATATATATATATATTGTACTCTACCATCAAAGTTAGATGCAACAATCACTGGTTTATTATCAAAGAATTATGTGATGACCATTCTTCGTATTTTTTGACACCTCTTTAAATTTTTAAAAATAGTGTAATGTGAAATATTCCCAGATGATGATGACAAAGTAAATTAGAAATAAATCAAAATTAGAATAAACTAAAATCGAAAAATTTTACTCGCACAATTTTTATCATAAAGTGCATTTGTCCTTCCTGTAGCACATCAATGTTTACAAAAATATACAAAGTTTACAATTGCATATACATATTTCAGCTTTTAATTATACGTGTAAATCAATCACAAATTTACACTTGTATTAGGGTTGGACAGTCCGCGCGAAACTGACGTAATCAACTTTAGGCTATTGGTACTGCGCTCACTTCTAGATAGCACCATCATCATTCATAAATGAGTAATTACACCGCTCTCCTACAGAGAACATATTATTTCAAAAGGTTAAACGCCATTATTCGGCAATATGATGCATATAAATGATGAATTATTAAGTTTATGTCCTCCTAGGAGAAAGCTGTGACTGAAGGGGTTAATGTGTTCAATCATCATAAGAAATATCAATAAAATCGATAAAATTTGATGAACTTATAGAAGAGCATTCAGATTTTCAAATCAATTTTAAAAAATTAAAATTAATTAACTATGATAGCCTAGGGCTAGGCGTTAATAATTATTGAATTTTTGAGCCAATAAACAATTACAATAACTTTTTAAATTGGAAGTACTTCAAAAGACTTTCCTGAATATTAAAAATTTCGAGTACGATTTCGAATATGATTTTTATCGCTGTTTTATCAAGTTCTAACTGCTTAATTATATGTTTTGGACAGTCTTAATAAAAATCAAATAAAATTTAAAAGTAAGTAGTCTTATATACACATAAGTTTAAAATGTACTGCTTTATCTATTTGAAATCGGATATATCTAGAATGACCCGGATAAATCAAGAAGTTATCAATATCTGCCTTTTATCCAGCCAATTTGGATGACATGCAAGTATCATAATTTAAGTTGTACCTTTGCAGCAGGTTGCAATAAGTAATGAGTAAAAGATAGGGTAATTCTTTGAAAAATTAAAATGGGGTCTATAATTGCTTCTCTTATCTTTTATATATATAATTATTGTTTAAACAATTTTAGAAATTTTTATTATTTCAATTATTGCGTGACTTCAATTCCGAGTTTGCCGGAGCAGCCGTGATCTTGATTCACTCCAACTTTCATCAATCATAACTACGGAACTTACAAACTAATTATCATCTTTTTTTAACAAAGCATCCTTTTACTTTCAGTACATACTTTGAAGAAAAAAAAAATGGTTAACAATTTTTATTAACGAATGACCCTGGCTGCACTAATTAACAAATTTTAATTTGTCAAAATGGATTTGAAAGTTTGAATGCCCTTATATATTTCATATAATTTTCAACTATCTGAAAACTTTTATTTGGACTTATAATTTTGAGTATTATTAAGTTTTTTTCAAAAAAGTTAGATTGCAAAATTATTGCATGTGATCATTAAACATACTAAAAAGATTTCTTTCGCGAAGTATGAAGGGTCTATGTATGATATAAGTATAATAAAATCAATCACAAAAAGCTTTTCTATTTATTTTTGCGATTTTTAGCATTTTTCATTAATAATATAATAACAATGTTTACAACCACATTTTCCTTATGTAAAATTTAATTGCAAAACTTTTTTCCGCTTTAAAATTGTTATAAAACCAATAGTTGCCTAAATATATGAGGAAAAACGAGGAAAATCGTGAATTTCTTGATTGTTTTTAATATATTGTTTAATAAAAAGTTTGGGAACCCCCACATACTGAAATTATTTTGCTAGTTTTTAGTGATACTAGTGAAAATTACGTTTACATACTTCCCACCTAATCCCACTTCCCACTTCGCCTAATCTAATCGGTGTACCTAGCATTTCGCTAAGTACCACGCCGGTATTAATGTGTATATGCATATTTCAACGTATGAAAATGCCCTGTTTTTAAAAAACTCAAAATGTTAAAAATAATGGATCATAACCGAATTTGACTTCCTATTTTCTACACACAAAATTTACAGACTTTAGTATTGCCAGATTGTAGTCACATTTAAAAAAAAGCCATACTAAGAATTTTATGTAAAATAAAGGCGTAAATCATACATCTTTAAATTCTTAAACAAATTCTCACATAAGCCATTCTATCAAACGATCCGAATTAAATAAACTTATTAGTTAATGTTTTGAGTAAGTATAAAAATAAACTCAATAAGGAATCATAGTCAGTTGATAACATTTTATGTGCAAATAACATCGTAAGTATACTGCTCGTAGTATAAATATCTCTCTGAAATAATGTGTTTGGATTTTATGTAATATATACAGGGTTGGAACGTAATGATTAATTAAAAAATACTTCTAATAAGAAATAAAGATAGTTCGTTCAATTATTAACGGTTTAAAACTATCTACTCGTTTTGCCACAAGATTCCTTAACAATTCTATAATGATGTCTCATGTTATCAGTATGACTGGCATTATCGATTACAAAAGTTGATTTTTATATGTCGAAGTTCTTTTAAAATCGTATCATGAAGGTATACACAACAAAACAATCATTTGAAGCTAAGTCGGCAGTACCATAGCCACTGAATGAGTTTATTCGTTATATTATCTCCTGAAGAATAGTTTATTTGTCATATTATCGATTATTATAAGGTAGTGAATGCCGTAATATTAAAATTATTTAATTTTTGTGTACACAAATAATATTATTATGCAGTAAATTTATGACTTCAGTATCAAATTTGCAAATTAAGTAAATACCACGGTAAATATTCGTTTCTTCGCGTTCTTACCCTCAGTGCAAGACTGCAGTAAGTCAAAATTATATGAAAATTAAGTAATCATGGAATTCAATTGCAAACATGCATATCTATCCCCTGTATATCTTTAGTAACTTTCAAATGCTTAACCGGCTAAATATTACAACAACAGTTTAACTATTTTGCGTTTTTGTACATAAGTTCCGTGCAAAACTGTTGTAATTCTGATGTAACAGAGTTACAACAGTTTTGCACGGAACATTCCAATGGTTTCGATAACAAGCAATGAAAGGCACGAAGAAAGTAAGATATTTGTTATTTTAATATCTATATCTGTGGTGTTTAGTTTTAATATACAGCGTGTATACGTAATCCATTAAGGGCCGAGACAATAAACAAAGATTTACGAGACCAATCTATTCATGTAAGTTTTATGTCCTTTGTGTGAGATTATTTTTTCCATAAAATGTGTGCGATGTCGTTTGACCATTTATTTATTATATTATATTAAAAACACATAGAATAAGACTAATTATTTACAGCCAAAAAGTATTTTTTCTAACGAAAGGAAAAAACAGTTATCTTAAAACTTGTGCATTAACAATACTGACAGGTTAAAAATATCTCTTCTCAGAAAACTTGTTTTATAAAAACTAAATCCCAAATTGTATTAAATCTTCATGTAACCTTCCGTGGCGATTGTCTTATGATATTATCTCCCCGTAATTCCCAACTTTTACTAAGGTAGTGAATTTCAATCCTTTTGTTAATCACTGTACTCAAACTAGCCTGATTTGAATATTTTTGTTGTAGTCCTTTTGTTTTGAATTTAAATAAAAATATTGAAAGCTTTACAAATAATTTTTCTACAATGTTATGACATTGTCATTACAAAGCGAAGGAATTGTGGCTATCAGAAACATGTGCAGAGATAGAAAGATTAAATTGCCGCTAGCGATAAGCCGTATTATTAGGTACCTATTTATTCTAGATAGCTATCTGATTTCTTGGAATCTATTAAATGTAAAGTTTAATACCATACTGATGACCGATTGCTGTTGGGGATTAAATTCAAATGGCCAAAAATAAAGATTTGGTATACTTATGCCATTCAGGTATGATACCAGAAGCCCACCATAGTTTTTATAAAAATATTTTGGCCCAAGATGATATACTAGAAGAGGACAACTATAAATTTTCTCCGTGCAAAAGTGTTGTAACTTTGAAATTCCTAATTTTTTTAGCATTAATATTATTTTATTTAAATTTCTATTTTTGGTTAATGTATTATAGGCTGAACAGCATGCAAAAAAATAATTAAATGTTAATTGTTCTTAAAACTTGTATCTTATTTCACCGATATTCGCACGAAAATAAACAAAATCGTCTTTATCTCGAAACTTACTTATTTTGACTTACTGCAGTCTTGCACTGAGGGTGCGATATTAGTCTACTTATATTTCTAGATACAAAATTCTAAAAAGTGTCAATAATGAACATATAAATGTATTTTACTTACAGATAAAACTTCAACGTAAATGATAACGAAGTGAAGGGTGAATGAAAGAGCCATTGAACCAATCAACCACCAGTTGGACCATGGGGGCATGGCAATCAAGGACTGATTTTCTGACAAGCTGTGGAAAATTATCGATTAAGAATCAATGTTTATTTCACAAAATGTAAGTAAATGTACCTTAAAACAGTCAAGTTGGTCAATGTAAATTTACTAAGTTTATATTAAATTACTGAGTTCTTACCTGTTCATAGCATTTAACATTTCAATTGTTACCAATACAGACAAAGCCATGGTCATAGGATGAGGATCGTTGAATACTTTGCAGTTGACTCCCTTGAATTCGGGTCCTCCACCAATGCATTGCAAGTGATGTGTCTAAAGAATATTATATTATTAAAATTTGTTGACTCAATTTTTCAACATTATAAATCTAACTTAATCTAACATGAAAATAAATAACTTCTTAAAACACATTAAACATATTTCGCCATTTAACAATATATTTTTGAAATGAAAATATTAAAACTTTAATACTAACCAATTGATAGTAGCTCATTTGAGGTCCTTCAGGGCTGTACATAAACCACCAAGCAGCAGCGCCTACAGTTGCAGCACCTACATATCCTCCAATAGCCAAATATCTGAAGAACAACCAGCCGGAAATCAAAGATTCATCAGCTTTACGTGGGGGTTTGCTCATGATGTCTAAGTCAGGTGGGTTAAAACCGAGAGCAGTAGCTGGAAGACCGTCAGTTACCAAGTTGACCCACAGTAGTTGTACTGGAATAAGGGCTTCAGGAAGACCTAAATAAAAAAAAAATGTATATCATGTAGAATAATGTTTATATCAATTTAATAGACTATAATATGTAAAGTCTTTATACGGTATAAATAAAAAAAAATACTAACCAAGAGCAGCTGTTAAGAAAATGGATACGACTTCACCAATGTTTGAGGAAATAAGGTAACGGATGAATTGTTTCATGTTGTTGTAAATTGCACGACCTTCTTCAACAGCGGCTACAATGGATGAGAAGTTATCATCAGCCAACACCATTTCAGATGCAGATTTAGCGACAGCGGTTCCTGAACCCATGGCAATACCAATTTCGGCCTTCTTCAAAGCGGGGGCGTCGTTTACACCATCACCTGTCTAGTAACATAATTTTGTATTTCTATTACTCTGTGCTGTATTAAAAAAAAATAATTTTTTTTATTTACACTTACCATAGCAGAAATTTCATTCATGCTTTGCAAATATTCAACAATTTTGGATTTGTGAGCGGGTTCGACTCTGGAGAATAATCTAGCTCTGGCGCATGCAGCTTTTTGTTCTGAAGTAGGCAAATCGTCGAATTCACGACCAGAATATGACTTTCCAGTAGTATCTTCATCTTCAGTGAATACACCAATACGTCTGCAAATGGCTTCAGCAGTAGCTTTGTTGTCACCAGTGATAACAATAACTCTGATACCAGCAGCACGGCACTGAACAATGGAGTCAAATACTTCTTTACGTGGGGGATCCAACATACCAACAACACCAACAAAGGTAAGGTTGACTTCATATGTGTAGAATTTAGTTGAATCGCCAAGATCCATTTCGTCTGGTTTCATGGGGTTATCTGCAGTTGCTAGGGCAAGACAACGCAACGTGTCACGTCCACAACCATATTGAGCGGTAAGATCAGTGATTCTCTTTTTAAGAGTGCTGGTGAGTGGTACTTTTTGAGATCCAACACGAGCGTGTGTACACCTTTCCAAAACACCTTCTGGAGCTCCTTTAACAAAGAGTTTAGGTCCATTACCAATACGAGATGGTTTGAGAGGTGTGCAATAGGAAGACATAGATTTACGATCACGTGAGAATTCCAAGGTGAATTCCTTTTTCCATTTAGTTTCAATATCTTGTCTAACACAGATGGCAACTTGTCTACGATCTCCAGTTTTACTGACAGAGAAGGGATTCATTTTTTCTGCTAATACAATGAGCGCAGTTTCAGTAGCTTCTCCAACTTTTTCGAAAGCTTGTTTGAATTCATTGAAATCAATAGCAGAGTCATTGCACATAATACAGATGGTACCAATTTCATGTAATGCGTCAAATTCTGAACATTTAACTTTTTGTCCTTTAAGGAATACTTCACCAATAGGTTCATAAGTAGAGCCAGTAATTTCAAATTCATGGAAAGAACTGTCGCTTCCTTCAACTTTATCAAAAATAAACATACGTGAGACTGACATTTGGTTGGTGGTTAAGGTACCAGTTTTATCGGAGCAGATGACAGATGTACAACCAAGAGTTTCTACAGATGGAAGGGATCTTACAATAGCGTTTTTCTTAGCCATACGACGAGTACCAAGAGCAAGACATGTAGTAATGACAGCAGGCAAACCTTCAGGAATAGCAGCGACAGCCAAAGCAACAGCGATTTTGAAGTAGTAGACAGCACCTTTAATCCATGAACCACCATGAGCTGGGTCATTGAAATGTCCAATGTTAATAGCCCATACAGCAACACAGATAACTGAAATTACTTTGGAGAGTTGTTCACCGAATTCGTCCAATTTTTGTTGAAGGGGAGTTTTAATTTCTTCAGTTTCTGACATTTCAGTCCTAATTTTACCAATAGCAGTATTCAGACCAGTTCCAATAACAATACCACGTGCTTTACCAGCAGCAACATTGGTACCTGAGAAAAGAATGTTTTTCTTGTCTTGGTTGACGGCTCTTGGATCGGGAATGGGGTCGGTGTGTTTGATCACAGAAACGGATTCACCAGTCAAGATAGACTGGTCGATACGGAGTGTTGTTGAGTAAATTTTAACTAAACGAATATCAGCGGGAATTTTGTCACCCACTGACACTTCTACTATATCTCCAGGTATGATTTCTTTCGCCCGGATTTTCTGAATACCGGATTTGTCTTGTCGGACAACTTTACCCATTTCTGGTTCATATTCTTTAAGAGCTTCAATGGCGGATTCAGCATTTCTTTCCTGAAAAAAAAAACGAACTTGTAAGTAAAGAATTAACAAAATATTTTATGTTGATAAATATGTAACATTTTGTTAGTACATTTAAAATTTAAATAGACAACAATCAAAATATAATATCGACAAAATTTTGGGTGCTTTTTTCAGATAGATCAATGGTCACATTGCACGAATATATGAACTTTACAATGGAGCTTATAGTCATAAAATTATCTGCATGCGACCATGAATCTATGAAGTTTATGAAGAAGTGACTGTGTTTACAAAAAGCATGTGAAATACATTTAAGTATCATAATAAGATGAATAGATAATAAATATCAATACTGTTTTATTCAAGATTGTTTTTGCATGAAACTAGTCGTACTGCAACCATCGCATTGTACATCATATTGTACATCTTCCATTCCTTCATGATAATCATTCCAGAAGATTCTGGAACCCTGCACCAGCTGGACCAGCTTATACAGGCCTAGTTGATGGGTACCATTGGAACTACTTAGTATCTCCAAAAAGAATTTCCTGTCTGCAATCTAATGCTTCGCAGTCATGCAAGATATGGTTGACTCTTTTAGGTTCTCTGCAGCGTAAGTCTCATGAAACAGTCTCACTGTATGCAGATGTCCCTTGACTAGCGCATCTTCAGTAAGGAAGCCTGTTATGTCTATGAGTTGATAACTGATCGTTTCATTCAGTAATTCAGCCTAATACATGTACGTCCAATATACATTTTGCCCTGTGTTTGATTGGGTATATTTTCCCAATGAAAGTTATGTTGTCTTCGGACCAAGCTTTTTTTCGGTCGCGGACGATGCTTTTTTGCACTCCCATGGCCGGCTCTGGACCAAAATATTCTGTAATATGTATTCTGTATTCCGCGGTGATCTTAAACAAATACCGATGTGACATTGTGATCTTCCGCCAGTCTGTCGAACTCCTCTTGGCATTACCACACTAGCCTAGAGTCCACAATCCTACCAAATTCACCCTCCTGGTAAATTTCATGATTTTGGGGACATCTGGGGGCTTATGTGAAGTCCGAAATTTGAAGTCCATTCTGTAACTACAGTTAGAGCCATTCTATTTCTGAATGGCTCGTTTCGTAGGAGGTGTTGTGAATGCTCCACCTGTGAACATCTTCAACATATATTTAACCGTTTAATCGAGTCGTTGTCATCTTACTCGTAATAAAACTAACTGGTGTACCAAAAAAGGTTCTCATCTGAGAACAACACTCTTCTCTAATTCTCATCAATCCAGGTAAGATATTTTTTGCTTAATTTTAATGTTTCTTGGTTTTCGTACATTGGAAAAAAAGAACAATAAGTTCAGAGTATTTTAAATCTTACTCTTAAGTTTCTGGTTTTGTTTTCATAGGGTTTAATTTACTTTCTCTTCTTGCAGCTGACACCTTAGCAACCACTGTTTTATAGCTTGTTATGCTGTTATGTTGCTCATATTTTTTACTTGGCTCGTTATGTAAAACCTCGTGTCGATCACGGCTTGTAGTTGTCAAACGTTATGAGGAGAAATAGCTTCTCACATTATACTGTTTTGTTTTTGTAATATAGGTGTCACTCTAAAAACAAAAATGCATTGTATGATTCTTAGAAATTCTAAGATAATTTCTGTCATCAAGTGGTTTTACTAACAATTCTTAAATTAAATGTTTATGTGACAATTCTTGCCTTTTTCCTACACTCTTCTTCAAACCGGTGGTATAGACTCGTATGTCGATCACCCCCTTTGACAAGTATTTTCGAAATGAAAATAAGAAGCAAATAAAGCCTTAGTTCAACTTACTTCAACAAAAACACAATAGTTCTTAAAAACAAAAATAAAATACGTGTGTAACTTCTCACTGATTGTTAGGACTTTTCACTACTTGACATATTGAAAAAAATATCATGAAAAATATGTCAAATTAATTCGCACAATACTGCATTCCATATTAAAAATCAAATTTTCTTTTTTGAGTAATTATACACTTAAACTACACCTATACACTAATTATACATACCTGCCATACACCTACTACTGCGTTTGCAATAAGAATTAAAAGAATTACAAAAGGTTCTACGAACGCGGTGAATGCGCCATCGTGTTCTTCAAATAAAGCTAATACCTGAAACAAACCGTAAAATATAAGTTAAAATACATTTTTCTTTATATTTGAGAAATAAACAAGAATATAATAAAGGTCTTTTGTTCAAATAGACAGCTTAGTAAATTGTTCGATAGGAGAACAGTCAAGTGTATATCTTAGCAGTTTCTCAGACTTAAAAATAAAAGACGTTAAAATAATTTGCGGATAAATTTGAACACATTGGAAGTTAAAATAAACAGCGAAGTTTTATGATCCATAAAATATGCACAAAGCTTATACATATCTGTGCCACTTCACAGCCGTCGAAACTACGTGGCAAATTGGTTAGTAAATTTTATACTAAAGCCTTTTTTAATTCCAACTCGAGGTTGGATTTAAGCAAATGCCCTACTTTTAGCTGAGAAGTCATTTTATGAGACCAACTATGTGTTTTGTCGTTCCTGATGAATACTTAATTACTATTTATAATTATTTTGGATATATTACTCGTAAGAGACTTTTGATATATGGTGGGACAAGTGGAGGAAGATACTCTTCTTCAATTGTCACAAAGATATGTTTGAGAAATCTTTCAAGTTTAAACGCAACCTTCAAAGCACAGAAATTTGAGTGAAAGTATTGAATGCTTTTTAATTCTTCGATATGTATGTTGTTACACCAACTAGCTTTAACATACCTAAATTATTCCTTATTCGACAATGCCATTTTTTATAAATTGATACAACCATTATACACGCAGTTGCTGAAGATTTAAGTGGCTTGTAAATTTTTGGTTGTTTTATGTGCTTTGATATTGTTTTCTAATTCCTATGTTCAGAATGCATAGGAATATAAAACTATTATCTTATATCCTTAGAATAGGTAAGATTGTAAACTATTATCAATATAAATTATAGAATTCATCTAATACTACTTTCCTTTATAGATTCATCGCCCTTTGATTTTGCTTTTTTTTATTTTTCTTATTCTTACAGAACACCATCTTGCTATGTATCCAATTATGTTTTGTAGCTTTCTTATATCATTGCAATGTTTCTTTTCTATATTCTATTTCTACCAATTTCTGTTCATTCGACATTTTCACATTCAATTACTGCTTTTAGTTTACGCAATTTATATTTCTGATGGTGTCTGAGTCTAGAAAAACTTTTAATTGCCGACGCTCATGTCTATATATTTTATTCTTACGGAATAAAATACTTTGTATATAGGCCAACCAAAATAATCAGCTTTAATTTATTGTCAGTTTTAAAGTAACCATCTATAATATCAATAAATGCGAAAAGTTGTAATACTAATTTTTTTTGTAGCACAAATTTTTGTTTAAAAAAATGTTTTAAAAAATAGTAGTAATCAACAGTATAAATTTAAAATGACAGTACATCAGAATGAATCCTGTCATTCCATTCATCACTTTAATAATTATTCTATTTCTTGTGTTTTGATTTATTGATTGCTTTTTATAGTGTGGAGAATTATAATCTAGCCAAATAAATATAACATAAATAATATCTAAAACAGTAGACAATGAGTTTTTAATATTTAATCAATTGTTTTCTTTCACCTTATCGAAAAAAGTGTATAGATTTAGATATTCTTTGTGTGATTTCTACACTGCGTGTCACGAAAAAGAGGCCACCGAAAATGTTTGCCATTTTTTAATTTTTACGAATCATACCACAAAGTGATTGTCATTAGATGTTTGTGTAATGTTTAAGAATATGTTCTAAAGCAGTGTGTAATAATTTTTTTAAACAAATGTCAAAAAATAACTTCTTCCATCTCTATTGTGAATTACACTCCTCATTCGATTTGGCATTGAATTGATCAAATTCTGGATGTCGTTTTGAGTAAAAGCTTCCCATTCTACCATTAGCGTCAACCGAAGCTGCTCAGGATTTATTGAACCAGGTATTCTGTTTCTTACCCTTCGTTTGAGTTGGTCCCAAACATGTTCAGTCGGGTTCAAATCAGGACTTTGAGTTTTCGCCGACAAACCCAGCAAAAGGCATTACATGCTCGTCTAGAATGTCGGTAATGTATCGGTGTGCATTCAACGCTCCTCTATCAATAAATACGAGATCAGTACGGACCTCGAATGAAATACCTGCCCAAAACATTACCGAACCTCCTCCAAAAGCAACACTTACTTGTCGAACACAAGCAGCATATCATTCCCTACGTCTTCTGTATGTTTTGATGCGACCATCTGAGCCATAAAGAACCATTTTGGACTCATCACTAAACAAAACATTTTTCCAATCTTCTATCGACCAATCCTCGTGGTCTCTAGCAAACTATAGTCGGCTGGACAGCGAGCCCTTAGACCAAATTTCTTCAACCTTCGCCTCACGGTAGAAGTGCTTAAAGTCCACCCATGGTGGACTCCTGGTCGTCGTTCGTGAGATCCAGTCTCTACGAATCGTTGGTAAATATTTTGGACCATACAACGACTGACTCCATGCTGTCTAGCAACTTCTCTTTGACTCATTCCATTACCAATCAAAGTAACAATTTGAACAGATCTAGCAAATTTCTCAGCCATAGTTTTTAATTTAAAAATTGCACAAGTTTACTCTTCGAACAACTGTACACTAGTGAAAGGTTTTTGAAAAACAGAATAGTCATATTCCAAGAAAAATAGGTACAAACAACACGTACATTATCCGAAGTCGTAAAACTGATTTCCATTCTACAAACTTATTACCCTTAATTTTCCTGTCGACGCCGTTTGTCGGTGCCTAAAAGACGCTAAAAGTGTTTTTGCATTGTGGGAATTTAGTTATTGAAAAATTCTTACAAAATTCTAGGTGGCCTCTTTTTCGTGACGCGCAGTGTATATAATACTAGACCATCATCCAGCCTCAAAAGTCCACTGCTGAACATAGGCTTCTTCCTCGTGTTTCCAACCCCCATACTGGATGAGAACGGCACTCTCATCCAGTTTTCATTTTGTCTTCTTAAATCGTCAGATTACCATGTGTGTAGGAGGTCGAACGATGCTTCTCTTGTCTTCCCTTGGTCTCAATTCCAATAACCTCTTTGTCCATCACCTATCCTTCATTCTAGCTATGTGTGATGCCCATCTTCATCTTAGTCTGGATCCTTCAGTCTTCTCTGACTTCAGTTTTATAGCCGAGGCTTTTGTTACTGTAAGTGGTTCTGCTCCGTATGTCAACACTAGAAGGACGCATTGATCAAATACTTTTGTCTTCAGATAAGTGGGCAACTTACTTTTAAAAGTTTCTCTCAGATTTCCATATGCTGCCCACCCAAGAGCTATCTTCTCTTCAGTTCATGGGTCTGATGATCCCTGCCAATTATAATTTCATATCCTAGGTATTTATATTTATCTAAATAGACTATCAATAGCATTCAGCAATAGATCTTAGTCAACAAAATAGCCTTAATTGGGCCAAAATATTTATTGCTTCTGAAAGCCAAGTTGTACTGAAGATAACTGACTAGACAAAAAGATTAGAGTAATCATAAATAATTATCTATAATAGGGCACGATGATCTTAGAAGAAATGAATAGAACACGTAATTAGGCAAAAGGAAGGTGCAACAGTCAGAAAAGATTTTGATCGAAGAGGGCCAATAGGACAATGAGTCAGAGAAAGACCTAGACTTAGGTATTAAGACAACATGATTTAAAATATATTGAAGTTAGAGCATGGAGGAGAGTTGCCAGAGGCAAGGGCGAATGGTGGAGTATTCTTTCGAATGCTTCGCTCATATTGATTTTAGAAGAACTACATAAACTTATCAAAATGGACTCTATTAGAGAAAATCTATTGTCAGAAATGGTTTAAGAAGGATACGTAATAAGTGTATTGACTAGGTTGTTGATAACTATTTTTGACGACTACCTTTTCGTAACCTTATTGTAGTTCCAAATAATATAATATATAATAGAATAGAATAGAATATAATCATATATTATATGATTATCTATATTATGTCTATATTTTGCTGGATCGTAATTTCGGAATTCGACCAACAAGAAATTATAATAACTATAACTATCCTAACGGTACCAGAAGTAAAAGAGCAAAACAAAAAAGGGACATCGTCTGAGAAATTGATATTGAAAAATAAGGATTCAAGGACTAAACTATCCAAACAAACCAACAAATTAACTATTCAATGGAAACAGGTTCCTCATTTAAAAATAAGCTGTTAAATAATGAGGTAAATATATTTTCCAGCGAATGCCACTCTTCCGACATTAACCAGAATGCTTTTGCATGAAAATATGTTTGGTACACTTTGCGGTAGTTTACTTTTTGTGTTATTTTAAAATGTTCTGGCACTGGAAATCGGCTTCCTTTGTAACTATATTTAAAATCCGAGCCGAAAGTCAAGATGGGATGTCAAAGTTATCAATATATAAGAATGTGGGTGATTTATAACGTAATTTCAGAATGAATTTTACAAATATCCATGGCGATTATGTAGTTTAATTGGTTTTTTTAGTTCATTAAGTTGATATAAAGATGAACTGGTTGAGAGTAATCGATCATATTCTATTAATTTTAACGAGACAGTGAACGAATGGTGCGAAAAGTTATTTAATTTATTTGAAAGGAAAATCATGTAATGAGAATATAAAAACGGCGGCTTTTTCTTGTTAGCTTACTAGTTTTACACACAAGTGAGGTTTTTAATAGGAATCTTCATAAATTGCACTCATAGCTTTTATATACAAGTACAACCTACTGCTTTTCCTCACACGATTTTATTTTTCATGTATAACGAGATTGGGATCTATCTTTATGGTATACGTAAATAAAGTCAATTTATGCCAACTTTATTTACTGCAGTGAGATGAACTCTCAATCAGTTCTGCGTTAAAAGTATACAACTCTCACGACTAATGAATCATATCCCCAACTTGTACTAATAAGGACTCTTTAAATTGTGCCAGTGGCTATACAGGGGGAGAGGATGAAGTTGTGAACTAACTAGGAGTTCTTTGGTACTATACGCAGGATTGTTTGTATTATCAATGTTCAAAATCGGTATCGATTTTGAGCATTGCTCAATTGTTTTCAAAATGCTCACGGATGGACATTAACTACTTCTACAGTGAGAAGAACAACAGGATCTTTGTTAAAAGCAATACAACGACAACGCCGATTTGAGTTTGCCAGAGACGATAGAAGTTTGGAAAAATGTTTGGTTTAGTAAAAAGAACAGCATACTTGTTGTTAGAACTCTTAGAGAAGGCACTGTAATGTTTGCAATGTCTTTTGCTGGATTTGTGGGCAAAAACTTTATTTTCATGCAAGACAATGCGCGGCCACACGTAGCCAGGATGGTAACGCAATACCTGGAAACCATCGGTGTGCCAAAAATGAATTGGCAGGCTCAAAGATCAGCTTTGAATCCGATTGAGCATGTTTGGGAACAACTCAAACAAAGAGTAAGAAACAGAATAACTGCTCCAATAAATCGTGAGCAGCTTCGATTGGCGTGTTTCCTCAAGAATTTAATCAATTCAATGTCAAGTCGAAGAAGGAGTTTAATTCAAAATAGAGGTGGTAATACAGAATATTAAAAATCACGGCTTTATTGTAATTTTTATCAAGAAAACAGAAAAATTTTACAATGTTAATTTTTAAATTTTTCTATTAAAATCATCACTTTGACAGAAGTCTTTTCTCGCTTTTTTCAATTTTTGCCAATTAATTAAGTAACTGTACCTTAATGCAACATGTCGCTAATAACCACTAACAGTTGATGCGACTGATTAATTAATAAAAAAGATCTAATATTGTGTTCTACTGAAACATCTTTTATAATAATCCATTTAAATATATTTATATTCTTGTGCATTTTTTTATAATTTCACTACAGTTTCTGTTTCTCAGACCTTCTGTAATAGACTCATTGGACTTTTTAGGGGGTCATTTGACCCAACATGAATCACATATAAATCAATAATAATAAATTTTAATTATAAATTTTTATTTAAAAAATTTCTTTATAAAAGGTATAATAATAAAAACCATATCGGGCTACATCACAGAACGTTTTCGGAATTAATATTCCATCATCAGTGCTATACTAAAAGCATAACCACTTTCAAGAGTAAATTATAGCGGAGTATAAAAGATTCAAGGGGGTGTGCGGACATCAGTTCGCAGTTGAAATCCAGCATTGGATGAGCGCTAGGCTTGAGTTCACGCTAGCCACACCTCAGAAGGTTTAACACAGTCGGTATATTAATAAGTTTACTCAGTTCGTGTCAATATTGTATCACCGACAAGTCATCCATTTTTTCGCACATAAATTCAAAACTAAATTTTATAAATCAGCTGTCGTAAGCAAGTTATCGGCGTCCGAAATACGTTTTAATTGTTTAAATAGACTTGTTAAAACGTTCTTTTCGAAACTTTAATTTGTCCCAGTTTTCTGGGTGGTCCTTCAAAGAAGTATACAAAGTGGACCTATTTCCCTAAGGACAAAACTTGTTCCCCAAGGGAAAAACCAGCGATCTATGACTGGTGCGCGAAACAAAGGCATCAAGACAAGGTGTAAGGACAAACACACCTGCATCTTCGCTCACTATGTAATAAAAACTAGAAATTAGGCCGCCAATTCTTATCGGTTCTCAAAGCATGAGGGTTCAAATTAAGGGTTGCGCTTTAGATTTCAGTCCTGTACCAGCCGAAATGTACGGCGTTGCAAAAAAAATTAATCTATATACCGATATGAAACTTTGTGTGAATACCGTAAGTAATGTTTCAAATTACCGAAAATGGAGAAACAGCTGTTTCCCCATTAGTTAGTCCATGCTGCTAGTACTAATATTATTGTACGGCATTACGCCGCTGGTCATTATTTTTGTAATGTGTAATTATTGTATTTTTGTATTTTGTATTGTATTTTTATGTTGTATTATGTATCATTGTATTTTTGTAATTTTATGTGATTCATCTGGGTCAAATGACCCATGAAAAATCTTCCATTGGCTTGTGACTATAATATACGTCTATATGGCTTTCCATGTGTCGATTTGCGAACTTGTCTATATTTTCTTTTCTGAGAATCCTACTTATTCGCATACTTTCCGTGTCATTTTAATATCATGAGAAACACTAATGTTTGAGAATTCAGAAAAGTACTTACAAAGGAAATTATAGCGGCTAATAATAAAATCTTGACTAGAAGATCATCAAACTGTTCTAAAACTAATTGCCATATGGATTTTCCTGAAAAAAAAATAAAAATTACTATTTAGAATAAATAGCTATTAATAATCTCAATAAGGTGGTAACAATTTGTAATGTTATAACGAATGAGACATTTGAAGCATTGGTAAATACCAAAAAAAATTAATGTATTAAATCTAACCTAAAGTAAACTCTAAATAAATTTATACTTAAAAAATTATAACTCTATAATTTACAGTAATAATTTTATTTTAATGCTTTATGCCTCAGTAACGTTGAATAAATATTTATTTTCACTACAACATAATTTTCAGTATTGAAATCTACTTCAAATAGAAAGTTTGTTATAGTGATTAAAACATAAGTATGTCTGAAAATAGTTGATATTTTGTTATCTGTGATATTTGTTTTATGACAAGTGATATCGGTGGAACTATTATTTCAGCATTAAGCAGATACAAAAACGGTACCTATAAATACAATATACTGACGAAGTATTGTAATTTTGAAGAAAATCAATTTGTTTCACAACTTCACTTCCTGTCAACCAAAGAAGGCAATCAATGTTTAGAACTACATATTTGATTCGTATCAATTTAGCGAACGTCGACACAGACCTCGAAAATAGACTGGTTCAATTGCATTCCTGCATTTTTCTGGATCAGAGTTTGTTTTATATAATAATTACTTTAAGTTTTAAAACTTCAAAACTAATTGTTAAGCAATATCTTAATTTTATATCTTAATTAATCTTAAAAAGAAAACGTAATTTTTTAGGCATTAATATTAATTGATTTGGTTGCGTTTTTTGGTCACTTTTATACAATCAAATATATGCACAGTCCTCCGTGTCCAGTAGAGATATTTATCAAGAAATAAATACTGTAATTAAACTAATAAATTATTAATTAGGTTAATTAAATTAATAGTACACTAATTGCGAAATTAAAGTGTTGTAATGTAGTTAATATAATTTACTAATTTTGTTGGGAATAAGCCACAATTTTGCTTCAAAATTAAGTTTAAAAAAATTAATTTAATAGAATTTAAATATATTTAATTTTAGAGTAAAATTGTGGCTCATTCCCAACAAAAATTGTAAATTGCATTAACATGCCACAAGAAAATAGCTTCAGAACAATATTAAGTAGTTACTATTTATGTAGCATACTGGTTTGAAGGTTTGCCTTTTTTATTTTAATTTTATAAATTTCATTACAATAAATATTACATTGATTTGGTCCTTAATAAAATGCTTACAATCAGGAAATAAAAATCCAGTAGCCCCTTAATTGGTGTGGTTTGAACGTGTCGTTGAAACATTCTTTATATCAAATGTATTTTTAAAATGCAGCAGAGCGATTCTTTTAGTTCAAACAGTTTATACAAAGTACAAGGTTGTACAGAAACGCGAGTCAAGTGCAGGTAAAGTGTAGTTATTCTCGTAATCCCATAGCCCTTTTAATGAACCTCGTTTGAAGTCGTGGAATTATGAATTCTGTTGAAAAGTTGGTTTGACTATTTTCTTTTACGCGCTAAGGAAATCTTACAAACTAAGAAACTAACGTGGTAATAGAAGTTCCATCCTCTATTAATGTTAGTACAAAACCAAGGATTTTCCAATTAGTACTAAGTGTGTTTTATTTATTTATTTATTTTTATATAGTGTTCAGTTAATGGAATATATTTATAATCCTAAAAAGGCCAAAAAAGTGTTTGAGATAATAATCTCCATATATCTTCTTCTTCTGCCTCTTTATAAACAGTTCTGCTTGTTCATTGGCGGAGTAATACCTCTATGGAAGGCTTTCACTCCATATTTTGCACGGTCGTCCGATATTTCTTTTGCCGATTGTTGACTGATCTCTTGCTATTTTGACTATACGGGTCTCCTCCTTTCTGCTTATGTAGTTATTCTATTCTTTTTTTTTCTATTTTGTGTCCATTCATATTATACACTGTACGTTATATTTTCTTCTGTCTTCACTTCTCTTTCGATCTCTCAGCGTATTTCCTGTAATCCTTCTCAGTGCTCTCATGATCAGTGTCGGGTCTTGTTTCTGAGTCATATGTCATTATTGGTCTTACACCGGCTTTATAAATTCTTGACTTTATCTCAGTGTTAATGTGTCTGTTTTGCCGTATAGTGTTTCTAAGGCATCCTGCCAGTCTATTTGCTTTTTGTATTGTCCAGGTCTCTATGGCTGGACAGTGTAATTGCCAGGTATTTTATTTCCATTCCTTGTTTAATACTGATGCCATCAATTTCTATTTTATATCTGGTTGGTTCTTTGCTATCTACTATTGTTTTAGCCACTGCAGTTTTGTTGGGTGGATCGAGTAGCTCGACAGAACTGTTGCCGGTCCCAAGCCCGGACAAAGGAGGAGGGGTCTACAGGTTAGCACCCTACTGATAGACTTTAAAACCATACAGCTCATAGAAACGGGATTATGCCTCGGGAACAGAAATGATGAATTCTTCTTCTTCTTGTAGTGCCTATCCGTTTTGGATGTTGGCGACCATCATGGCAATCTGCACTTTGCACACTGCTGCTCTAAAAAGATTTGTGGTTGTTGTGTTGAAGCACGTTCGTAGATTTTTCAGCCAGGAAATCCTTCGCCTTCTTGGCCCCCGTTTTCCTTCTACTTTTCCCTGCAAGATTAGTTGCAGCAGTCCATATCTTTCGCTGTTCCTCATGATGTGACCGAGGTATTCGATTTCGGCTGTTTTTTGTGGTTAACAGCTCTTTTTCTTTTTTCATTCTCAACAGAACACCCTCATTAGTAACGTGGTCGGTATACGATATCTTCAGGATGCGACGATAAAGCCACATTTCAAAAGCCTCAATTTTCTTGCAGGTGGCGTCTGTGAGAGTCCATGATTTAACTCCGTACATCGAGTATAGGAAAGATGTAACATCGTAGTAACCTTATTTTTATGGGCATTGATAAATCATGACATTTGAATAACTTAGCCATTTTTTAAAATGCAGATCTTGCTTTCTCTATTCTACATTTGATTTCTATGGATGCTTTCCATGGGTGATTTCTATTGATTTCTATGAATTACTTGTTTCAAAAATATAAATAGTACGCCAATATCAGCTTGAATGTATGAAGGATTCTTTTATATTTTTACTTTTGTTGCACTTACAATATTCTATCTGCAAAAAACTTATTAGAACGTGGTAAAACATTGGGATTGGTTTTAGATACCTAATAATTAAATATTAAATGATCTAATAATTGTAAATAATGTATTTTTTAAATATTGTAATATACCATGGTATTTTATTCCGCATTCATATTGTGACTGACCATTAAGTCGTAAACTTGAACATTGAATATACAATATTTACAAAAACCTTAAAACTAGTTCGATATATTATCACGTTTTTTTTGTAGGCGGTGGTCTCCACTAAAGCAAGTCAATTAAATATACACGTCTCAAAGGGGTCGCTGGCCTCATACTCCTTTTCACACCGGATCTGAAAGATTTTTGTGGATACCCGATATTTATGTTCAGTCCAAAAGATTTAGTATCCTACGAAAACCTATGTACCGTTTCAGAGATAGATTTGTGACCTGGTCAGATTTCAAAAATTCTTCTCCATTGATTAATAGGCGTTAGGAAATAACTGCCCCGCAACTGCAGAGAATATATTGTCATATTGCTCTGTCCACTGCGAATTTTAATCAAGTGAGCGATGTTTACTGTGAATACCTTTAGAGTTCATTCTGGGATCTGAGAATTACTCTTTCCGTGCATTCCTCTGAATATCTAAGAGTATATTGTAGTTAACATTCTGCAGTAGTCTATACTAGTTGTTTTTCTGATTTTCGGATATCTACCATACAGGTTTTTAATATTCTGCAGAATGATTCAAATTCTATAAAGGGACTAATAGCTTCTTCTTTATCAAGACTAACATCAATGTACTCAGTCGCTTAAGGGACTTTTTGTAGTTCCAAGCTGTTACGGACTCCTAAGTTGTAGACCTCAATCCACCTCACAGTCTTCAGTACAGCTTGATTGTCTGGGACGAAAATAATAACAATAAATATAATGCACATTTATTAATTTAGTAATAATATGAGATTATAAAAGATCTAAATAATAATATGATTGTGTTTCTTATCTGGTCTTTTACTGTGGGCGTCTGGTAAAAAAATATTTTTAAAAATATACAAATTATAACCTCACATAAAACGTTTTTGTTCATAAATACGGAATCACCGTTACAGATATTCCATCCCACACTATAAAAACGGGTAAAAATAAAAATCCCGACACACTATAACAATCCATAACCATCAATTAAACCAAGCTGAAGTGTTTGTTACACAATAAAATCATGGGAATTTTTACGATAAACATTTAAAAACCTGTAAAACTTTAAATACAGTGCTTATTTATAGAATAGATTTGGCAGATGCACGCTAAATTTTTTTGCAAATATTTTTTGAGTAATATAAGAATTTTTTGATATTTGGCCAAACTGTAGGAAATATATTCCAAGATTTTCTTACATAACATCCAAACAGGTAGAATAATAAGTTTGGGAAATCAGTAAGTATGCTTTTAACTACTATAATATATAAAGGACACTGATAGTAATGACTGACTGAAAAAGCAAAAAAAAAGAGTGGCAATTAAAAAAAATGTGCACAAAACACAAGTGAGATAGATGCATTGTTGGAAAAATAAAGAAACAACAAATTAAGACTGCCATTGGCAAAGAAAGTGAATAGATAAAACAGGTCTAGGGACAGGAATAGTCTTGTGACCAAAACCAAAAACCTGGATTTACATTCAAACCTGTTCGAACCTATTCGAAAAACTGAAATAATTTAGAAATAAAGACATTAAAGGACGAAAAGGAAACCAGAGGAATTCAAGATATGGTGAAAATACGAACACAACGTGGCAAGCAGGGAAAAGGGAAAAAGAAAAAAAATACATAAACTTAACACGATACGTCCAGCAAAGAGATGATATGGAAACTGAACATTGCTATGGCAAAAGCTGAAATGGCAAT